ATTCTACGCATAGGCGTGACTAGACTTCATTGGCAGGGGCAGCCTGGATAATAACCGGCGGTACCTTATTATTATAGTGAACGGAAAAAAGCCCTGTACACCCAAAGCCGTATTTTTTTTAAACCCCCCCCCCCTCCACAATGAAATATTTACATAATTTCAAAAAAAAGTCTAAATTATCTATTTACAATAATAATCTACGGTAACTCCAGAAATATTAATCATCCTTGGATTACCTACACCACCTAGCTACAAACCAACAATAATACAACAATAATATCAATATAATACCTAGATGCGTACTGTATCGTCGTCGTCTGTCTCAGGTCTCTATAGTGGGTTTTTCCGATTTCGGAAGTCAGGAAATCAATCTTTGTAAGTAAATGGTAATTATAACGATACCCCATACCCACAAAAAAATCAAGTTAAAAAAAAAGAAAAAGAAATGTTATAACCCTCTGACTTAAAACTCGGTTGACCGGCACCTGTGAAAAAACCCTAGGCTGCCACCGTAGACACGCCTATGATTCTACGACGTTTTAAACATTTAGCATTGGTGAAAAATATAAGATAGTTTATTGAGGTACAATTCAAAAATTATTATAGAAATAATATCAGTGTTCGATCACCTCTATAGTTGTGTCACATAAGGTGATAAACCACCCTTTTGAAGGCGGGGGGGGGGGGTAGAAGGGTAAGCACGAAGGGTAAGCGTCAGAACTTTAAGTATGATCATTAATGAAGTATATAGTAGGTGTATGCCAATATTCAGCTTTCGGTGAATTTTTACATTATGTTCGAACTTGGTTCGTATTATCAACCGTACAGATATAACACCGCCGAATCGTACATAACAACCACCTTAAACAACGATCTTATAAAGCGCTAGTAGTCCTGCCGCAGTCGAAGAAGGACTACGACTCAAAAAAAGCATTGATAAGATGCATCGTTGCGTATCCAGTATATGAATCCGTGGCCCTACGGCTCTGGTGATATGATTAATTTGGAATTTATTATAGGTAGGTACCTATTATAGGTCAATTTTTTTTTTATACCATGGCCACAGTGCCCGGCGACCGAGTTCAATATCTTTCGGTCAGTAGTGCTTAGCACGGTCACGTGATGTTCTGTCGTGCGAGTTCGGAGCATAGATAAATATAATCTATGGTTCGGCGTTGGAGCAGCGCTGGGCCGGTGGGCTTATCATCCGCAGATAATGAATTATTATGAATTATAGATTACGAAATAATTATATTCTGAAATCTATATTATATTCTGTGGTTTCATCTGTGCTAAGGCCCTTGGCTGGCTTATCATGTAATAACGATATCATAGAGTTAATCTGCGATAACAGTTAAATTTTATTTAACTTTATTAATTGATTTTGAAGATTGTGAACTTGTCATTGAAATGTAATAAAAAACAATCTTACCTTTAAATTTTATCAGAGGTTAGTTCGCTCTATTTTTTTAAACTAACAGAGTTAGACGTGATCTGCTGAGTGCAAAATTTCCTATGTTACGTACTTATGACGAATGTCACGTCACTTGACGGAGACAACAAATGTCGGTGTATATTAAGTATATGGTTATGGTTTCATAAATTCTTTAAATTTGACGAGTACAAATTAAATGTCCTAATGTGTGTACTATGTAGTAGATAGTGGATCAAATGATTAGTGTTCTGGTGACTGAGTGTTAATCATTATTTAATATTATTCATTACAAGAAAAATGCATGGTTTTTTTAACAAGATGTTTTTGTCTAATAAGTATTGCTTAAGTTTTATGGAGTTAAAATCGTAATAATCTAATTTATGTCTTTACTTTAAAATATCTATTTGATTTCATAAAAACAAAGATATAACAATATTATGTTCCTAAATCCTAACACACTCAATCATAGGTAACCATGATCAAATGTCTGGTGAATATTAACATATTCATTGTTTTCGCTCTCAATTCCTTCTCGAATAGCAATAGTTTCGTTTACAGTTGGCTTATGAATATCATGTTTATGCAATCTTTGTTTTCTTGTTGAGTATAAACGCATTTGGCCCGTTTTTTGGATATTTATATTTTCAACAGAATTAAAATAGAGTTTTTTTGTTTTGTTCAACATATTGTTCAACATAATGTCATCCTATTTTTATTCAGTAACATGTCTTCCTCCTCACTAACTAAACTTGTAGCACATGGACTACAACACCTCCACAAATTATAGAAAATGGGAGTGAGCATGTTTGGTGAATCACTGTATATTATAATGGGCGTAAATGCATAAGAACATTTATTAATAATCTCATTTATATATTAGTAAATTTAGTGGCGTACACACTTTTTTTACTATAACATATATTAAGTAAAACTATGTATGTAATATGAAAAATTATGCAAGTCAGGAAAGTTCCGAAAATAATATTTAAAAAAAAGTTATTTGTTTTAAGTTAATTTACTCAAAACATATTGATATTTAAAAAAATTCTAAAAAACAAACTACTTGATTTAGATAAATGTTTTTACCATCAAAATTGTTCTTATAATTAGACTAACAAATTGGCTATTTTGAAATCAAAAAGAATTTGAATGAAATATTTAAATTTTTAATTTCAGTTTCAAGAAATAAAAATGAAAAAATGTACTCTGTAAATATAGTGCAAATGTTTATAAATTATATACAGGTAATATAAAAAAAAATGTTAAATCTTGATTATAACAAAAGTTATTTCATTTGACTGGTCTTTCTGTTACATGCATAATAATATATCACTTTTTTTTTTAATGAAACCCACTCCACAGTACATTAAAAATATCTGTGTATGCCACTGAGTAAATTTGACAGATTTAATTTAGCAGACGAATAATGACAAACTACAATAAAATCACAATTAACTAAAACATAAAATAAATTCAAAATTAATAAAAGTTTACATTTATCTAAAACATGAAATAAATCCACATCTAAATATTTTAATTACAGTTTGCATTAACCTATAACAAACAAACATTGATTACTAATTAAGCCTTACAATCAATAAAACAAATTAGTGAATATTTTTGGATACAGCACTTATAGGTTTTTGATAGCCATAAAACTATAAAACAGACTTACTTCAAATCGCTATAACTTTATTTTGAAACTAAGTTTAAACTATAAATTTTTTAATCCAATTCTTAATTTGTTTCATCAAAAACTACATGGGAATATTTAATAGTAAGCTCACTTTAATAAAGACATAATTCTAGGTGATTATTCAAATTTTTTTATATAAATAATAAGACAACTAAAAATATTACTTAAGAAATGTGCATCAGTTTTATAAATTATTAATACACTATAGTTTATCAGTCCCTATATTAGTCTAATGACCGTTTCCAAACCTTTTAAACACCCCGACCCCATATATACAATTTTTTTAAAAATCACCTAGAATTATGCCTTAATTAATTAAACTTATTATTTAATATTTTTGTATAAGATTTATATATGTATATGAATAAAGAACCTGCAATCACTGCTCTGTTCTCTTTATCTATCTTCAATCGTCCAATTTCTTGAGCATGTCCATAGTGTGTTCTCCGGTACTTTACTTGTACTGAAGCATTTCTGTTATTTTTTGTTATTGTTGTTTCTATTTTGGAAGGACATTTTTTTACCAATTTTGTTACTTCCCATCACCTTCAACATTCTTAAATTGTTTCCTGATTTTCAATATTTTAATGAACTATAACAAAAATAATATTGCTTAACAACTCCATCAGAAATTTTCTTTGCTCCAGTATCTAACACATACATTGAAACTGTTTCTCGTTCAATATTATACTTCCATGTTTCAAATTCTATCATATTATGAAAAAAAAATAATAGGAAATCAATCATATCATGAGTTCCTATAATAGCATAACATACCTTTTAAATCATCAAAAGTTATCTTTTCTAACTCCACAGTAATTATGTTATGTTTAACACACAAATGTTCTCTTAATTTAAGTGAAGTAAATATATTTTAATCACATGATTCATAAGGATATTTTATTCTTGTCTGTTTTTAACTTACAGAACTGTTGTGAAATTTTTTCATGTAGTGAAATAACCACTTTTTATTTGCAAATTTTTAATTACAAATATGGCATTGAGAAATTTTTGGTTTTTTCAGTAAAATGTTCAAATTGGTGAATAGTACGGCAATGAGCATACATATTCTTTTTCAACGTAAATGTTGCTACCCAATTTGGACATTTAACAAAAGTTTTCTCCATATTTATTTAAATAATGACAAATTCACAATCCTCAAAATCCTAAATAGGTATTCAGATTATTCAGAATATTCTGAATTATTCATATATTTATATTTTGTTTGAGAGGACTCTTATCGCAGATTAACTCAATGATAACGTTATTATAAGACACAGATTTCTATATAGTACAGATTTCTATAAAGTACAGTTTTCTATAAAGTGGTGTAGTATAAAAATCTGTGTTATAAAACAATACGTTTTTATCGCACATATACCCGGTGCCGGATATATAAATTATGTAACCTAGAGTACAAAATATTATTAGAGCACCTAAAAGTTATCATTAAAAAGGTGCTCTGCTGTACAGTAGGTTACAAGTGGGTCACTGTATAATTGATGGTATTAAATTTGAATTCAATGATATAATATCATTGTATAAGAAAAACGATTCTGAGCGGAGACGGTATGTCAGTCTAGGTAAAAGACTACCTATTATATACTTATCTTTGGTATAAAAAAAAATTGACCTATAATAAATTCAAAATTAATCATATCACAATATCCGCATTGGGTATTTATAACGCGTTATACATCAACAACAAACCCTGATACATAGATATATAATAGTGCACTTTAGAAGTTTCAAGTACCTAAGAATAAT